TTTTCGTTTGTGTCTATGTTTTGCCCTTTAAATGATGATGGCTTATATAAAATTACTACTGTGTGCCATATAAAGACTATGGCAGCTATTAAAATTTGTTGGTTTAATGTAGAACAAGAATATAGTTTGGATTCCTTGAGCTGTTTTATTAGCTCAAGCATAAAATATTTGTAATTATAACTAAGAATTTTTCTTTTCCTTTTATGTATATTTTTAATAGTATTTCCATTTGACTTAACATATCTCTTTAAAGTGGTTTATAAATATTTCCTGTTTGAATCAAGCATGTATTCACAACATTCTCATACCTCACAAAATGTTTCTTCAAGTGTGGCACTTTAAACTGGTTTTCAATCAAAAGCTGCATAAGCTTTCTCTAACTAGTCTAATACTACAGATGTACTAACTTTTTCTCTTTTATTGCAGATGAAGTAGGGGAAAATAATGGCCATGATGTAACTGCTACCGAATTAGATCCCTTTTTGACAAACTCATCTGAAAATGAGAAGTTTGCTTCTGAGCCAAGTAGAAGCTTAACAGAAGAGCAACAACAAAGAATTGAGAGAAATAAACAACTGGCCTTGGAAAGAAGGCAGGCAAAGCTACTGAGTAATAGTCAGTCCCTAGGAAAAGGTAAATTTTATGCTGGTTTTTATGTGCTACCATTAATATATCAAGGGCATGTTAGAAATTTTAACTGCTCTACTATTTCAAAAAATAAAATATCTCTAGGAATAGAAAAGTGTGATATTAAGTTTATGTATATTTGAGAGAATATGAGCGAGAGAGAGAGTGTATGTGTGTGCATGCGTACTTTTTGGAATCTTCAAAGAATAAATGAGTCCAAGGTGGTTTTCTGGGATAGCTGAGTACTTCTTTAAAAAGTTATTTTAGTCACTTAAAATTGATTCTAAATACTTCAAAAATATATTCTTTCCTAACTCTTTAAAGCATGTGACACATAATATTTAGGATCATAATTACAGAAGTTTATGATGATGTTCTAAACATAAAATGCCTTGTACACCCTTTGAGGATTTTAGAGCTGTTTGCTGTGACATGAATGGATTCTAAAATGCTTTTTATTGCATTGTGTCACATTTGATGTGAGCTACACTTTTGGAGGTTGTTTGCTTATCTGTAGCATCTCCTCATTTTTAAATCTGCCTTTAAATTTGCTGTTTTAGAAACAGACTCTGGGTTTGGAAACCAGATGACCAAATTTATTAAAACTATAAAGGGGCTGGTCCATTAGCCAGTTGGTTAGAATGGGGTGTTATGATGCCAAGGTCAAGGGTTCAGATCCCCATACTGGTTGGCTGCCAAAAAAAAAAAAAGAATTAACAAGTTTGTTTTGAACAAAGCAAGCAGGATTGCATATGTTTGTTTGTTTGTTTTTAAAGATGACCAGTAAGGCGATCTTAACCCTTGGCCTGGTGTCAGCACCATGCTCAGCCAGTGAGTGAATCAGCCATCCCTATATAGGATCCAAACCCTTGGCTTTGGTGTTATCAGCACCACACTCTCCCGAGTGAGCCATGGGCCGGCCCTATGGATTGCATATGTTTTTCTCAATTTCCAATCCAGTTTTTCCTTTCAGAATGGGAAAGTAAGGATTATAAGTAGATACCATGTTGCAAAACAATTTTACAATGTAATAAAATTCTCAAATCAAAGTTATTGTGACTACATTATCATGAATTTTTTCAATTAAAATGAATTTATTTTTCGTCTTTACAAATGGATGTTTTTATAGTACCATGTGAAAAACTACCATAGGAATGGCTTCCTTGCCGTCAATATCAAAGTATACCTGGCAATAGGTATTTAAGGCTCACCTTCTATTTATAATATACAACTTAAAATTTACCCAAATGGAAGTATCTTAAATTTTCTTTACTGTAGATCACTTTGACATAGAATTGATAAGTGCATTGGTTTTTTTAAGCCTCTTTCTAGTAGTTCAGATTTTGAATGAGAAATTACATTTGAGTATGATTCAAGAGTTTGAGTTTGGGGCTGGCTGGTTAGCTCACTTGATTAGAGCATGGTGCGGATAATAACAAGGTCAAGGGTTTGGATCTCCTTGCTGGCCAGCTGCCAAAAAAAAAAAAGTTTTGATTTAGTATCATTCAAGACCCTTTTGCATTTTAAATTGACTTTAAACATGTATAAAAATGAGTTTACTTAGAAGAAAGTGATAGTAACATTAACTAAGTGGTCATAGATTTTATTTCTACTAATTTAAAGTTTTGAAGAGATTTGTGTTTATGAGGTAAAATTGGATCAGGTGCTTATAATGAGTAATAACAATATGATTTTTCTTCCAGACATGTTAATGAACACACCTAGGGCACCGACAGTTGAAGATGTTAATACTGATGAGGATCAAAATGAGTCAAATGGATTAAGCAAAGACATTCTAGACAATCCACATAATGCTACTCCTGCCAATACTGTAAATGAAGAGGAGGAATTAAAATTTGAGGAAACACAACTAGACCAATCCTTTTAAAATGTACGATCCTTTATGCTCCATCCAGAAACGTTACCGAGGTTAGATAGGCCTCCACTAAGAGAAAATGTGTCTATTAACTTGCTATCCTGAAAGTTTGGGATTACTACATATTTTGTTTACTTTGAGTGAAAATCCTTAGGTAGTAAAACTTTTACAGATTCTCGTTTAAAATCTGGTATTTATTTATAATTATGCTTGTCACATATTAACTTTGGTTAATCTATTCTTTTTAGTGTTTATTTTTATGTAGATTTGACTTATAAAATGATTAGTAATTAATTGGCAGCTTCTGCTTGTGTGCCATTGAGTGCCTTATTTTCACTAAATTGGGTGATGTTTTGAGATATAAATATATATTGAATATTAATGTCCGTTTTTAAAAAGAAGTAAAAATAAAAATTATCTTACAAACTATCTCTAGAGGCTTTATTAAAGTTTTTTATTGTTATTTCTGCATTTGTACTTTTGATAAAATTTTTAAGGTTTTTTACATGTATTTTGAGAAATCACTCACTTTAGTACTTAAAAGGTCACATGAAAGGCTCATATATTGCCTGGCCCTCATAGGTGCTAGGGAAGTTAAAGAACGTTCCTTACTGACTAGTTGAAGAGAAACTTGCAGAGTATCATGGGGAACACAGAGCACCTAGGGAGGATTCATAGGAAAGGCCTTTCAGTTGGTGGAGGAGATTCCAAGTATTAGGAAGAATGTGTACAATAATGATACAGAAAGAGATTTAAGAAATAAAGAAGATTTGGGAATTGTGACTGTGATGTTGGAAGTGTTAGGGCCAGATGCTGAGAAGACCTGATTGGAGTTCTTCCTGCCTACTTTATCAACTTGCTGGAGGGGTAATTACAGATGAGAAAGCATTTTGACAACCAAGTTTAAACAATGTCTGATTCTGTCTGACAGGGGATTCCCATGGAGGGGAGGGAAAGGCTGAGCTAGTTTTTACAAAGGAGACTGGGAAGAAGGTTACCTTTTATGAGAAAGACTAGTGTTTGTAAAGAAAGTCTCTCACCTCTTCCCTTGCGGAAAGGGCTTGACGGTGCTACAGTGACTTCCATCCACAATGCTAGGACAGGCAGGCTTGTTCTCTTCAGGCTTTCTGACTTCAGGTAAGAATAGGAAATGACAAATATGGGTTGATTGAAAAGCCAGGAAGTTGAGCACAAGAAGAACATGTGGGATGGGGGGGAAGGGTGCTGTGGGTTGCTGGGAACTGCCATAGTGATGGGCCAAGAGGCATGTGCAGCAAAAGGATTGTGGTTTACTGCTGCTGAAGGGGGATCAACTAGAAGATGGAGCCCAGTCTCAAAGTGCCACCAATGCCTAGACAAACTGCTTCCTCAGAATGGCCTGTTTAGGGTTCTATCCACCCTCACGAACTGGATTAGAGTAGTTGACTGAGAAAGGAGAATTTTTTTTATCGTGGTGGGTTCGCCGACAAAGTAACAACTTTCCAACAAGGGGAAGCCCGGTGCACCTCATCATTTGAGGAGTACTCAACAAAATGGAAGGAGGTGAGGGTGCTGAGACAACAGACCTTACTTGTGTGTCCCACCACCCTCCCTATGCCCTATCTCCCAACTGGCGCTGGAGACAGCAGGAAAAGCTTGAGACAAATATGACAGGGGTTTTAAAGTGGATAGGTGGATAGGACGAAGTCTTACCATCTAAAAGTAACTGAAAAGTTATCTGATAGATGTCAGAGGGGCCTATGACTCAAATGGTCCAGTGTACCAATTACTGGGAAAATAAAACTTTGAAAATGGATCTGAGACAAAATAACCAAAAATTAATTTTTGGTTTGTTAGAAGCTAGCAATCTGCTTTGTGGACCCACCATTCACTATCTACTCATTACTGAAAAATCAGTTTCCACAGTGACCTAATTACATTTTACTTACTAAAACTTTCTTTTTAAAGATGACCGGTAAGGGGATCTTAACCCTTGACTTGGTGTTGTCAGCACCACGCTCAGCCAGTGAGCTAACCGGCCATCCCTATATAGGGATCTGTCGATTTTTTTTTTTTTTTTTCTAAAAGATGACCGGTAAGGGGATCTTAACCCTTGACTTGGTGTTGTCAGCACCACGCTCAGCCAGTGAGCTAACCGGCCATCCCTATATAGGGATCTGTCGATTTTTTTTTTTTTTTTTCTAAAAGATGACCGGTAAGGGGATCTTAACCCTTGACTTGGTGTTGTCAGCACCACGCTCAGCCAGTGAGCTAACCGGCCATCCCTATATAGGGATCTGTCGATTTTTTTTTTTTTTTTTCTAAAAGATGACCGGTAAGGGGATCTTAACCCTTGACTTGGTGTTGTCAGCACCACGCTCAGCCAGTGAGCTAACCGGCCATCCCTATATAGGGATCCGAACCCGTGGCCTTGGTGTTATCAGCACCGCACTCTCCTGAGTGAGCCACGGGCCGGCCCCCTACTTAATGAAACTTTAATGCATTATAAGAACATTTTACACATGTGAAGTATCTACCTAATCCTGATCGTCTAGAGCACTGAGTGAAACAGAAAATTAGATGTTAAGTTTGAAAAGACGGAAAATACTTGCATACAACAAAGCTTTTTTAATGAAGTAGAGTATTTCACATTCCATAATTGTTTGAAACATCCAGGAGAGCTAGGTCCCTTATCTCCTCTAGAAGGGTGTATAGGCTTCTTCCTTTTGTTTGGCAATATTCTTGATATTCTTCCTGAATGATGTTTACTTTGACCTCTTGGGCAAGCTGAGCTTCCACAGATCTAGTTACTTCTTTCACTAAGTCACTCTTCAGCAAAAGGGAACTCTGATGAAAAATTTCTGTGTTTGGTATCACGTATGGTTTGTTGCTTATTATTTCAAGCCGGACTGTATCAGTATGGCAACGTGAGGCCTGTACAGATATTTTTACCTATCATAGAGGAGAAAATATATATTACTAAATCACATTCTTCATTCTTTATATTAAAAACAAAATAACATAGATACAGACTTACTGTTACATGGTCAAACAAGTGGAATGTAACAGATTCCCCTCCTGCTGTGGTAGAGGTAATTTTGTTTTGAAATCTTTGAAGGGATCCTGGTTTCCATTCAGAACGGCTATCTAGGCCACATGCGATCACTAAACCATCTTTATTTTTTAGATAAGCAGCGCCTTTAATCCCAAATCTGAATCATTGCCAGGATAAAAATAAAAATACAGAGACTCTTAGTATGCAGATCTTGTATACTTATCTAGAATGCTAATTTTTTTTCTAGATTGAAAACAAATCACTTTTCCTGTGGTTTACCTCCAAATATTTACTTCAGCATAATAGATGGAAACAAAATATTTTGCTAAAGAAAGTAAAATCCTAAGACTGGTATAGATGTACACGTACGTGTACGCCAACCTCCTACTTCACACTTACATTCTGAATTATATATTATGTATATCTAGTAATTTACAAATAGTTGCTTAGATACTTTAACAAATTACATCTAATGCACTGTGTGTTTACACTTTTCACTATTATTTCTCATTAACCATTGGGTTAGATGTAACATACCTTGGTATAAATACAAGAACACCGTTTGTTCTAATTGAGTAAATAACTCCATCGGATATGCAACGCTCCTCGGTTTCAGGGTCTTTGTCTTTAAAGTACATGCATTGGAAGAGCTCAGTAGACTGCTTCTGAGAATGCTGTGCAGCCTGTAAGAAGTAGCACAACCCCAAAGCATTAAAACACTTTTCTGACATTCCCAGAAGAAATATGAAATTCATATTCCCACAGAAACAATGTCTTTAAAAAGGTTAGATTCTATAAAACTATTAATATAAAAATTGTTCTGTTATGAATTAAATCAGTTTTTGTGGGAACTTAACCATCCAGTATTATCCCCTGAAAACTGTCTTAGAAAATGAATTATTTTGGGCCGGCCTGGTGGCGCGCTCGGTAGAGTGTGGCACTTGGAAGCGCAGTGGCGCTCCTGCCGAGGGTTCTGATCCCATATAGAGACCGGTCCGCTCACTGGTTGAGCGCGGTGTGGGCGTGACACCGAGGGTTGCGATCCCGTTGCCGGTCGCAGTACGGGCGTGACACCAAGGGTTGCAATCCCGTTACCGGTCATGAAAAAAGACAAAAAGGAAAAAAAAAAAAAAGAAAGTGAATTCTTTTATAAAATGACACCTGTTTACAGTTCATCAAATTAGAGGTTGACGGGCCGGCCTGGTGGTGCACTCGGTAGAGTGCGGTGCTTGGGAGCACGGCAGCACTCCCACCGAGGGTTCGGATCCCATATAGAGACCAGTCCGCTCACTGGTTGAGTGCAGTGCGGGCGCGACACCGAGGGTTGTGATCCTGTTGCCGGTCGCGCTATGGGTGGGCACAACACCGAGGGTTGCGATCCCGCTACCGGTCACGAAAAAGACAAAAAAGGAAAAAAAAAAAAAATTAGAGGTTGACAATTTGAGACACATACATTTTGGGTACAGGGAAAGTATCACACATATCTCACTTTTCTTTCTTTTCAAGCCAGACCTACCAAAATCCTATCAGTGGATGTGTAAATTAGCACTTCTGTCATGGAGGGCAATTTAGTAATATGTACCAAAATTTTATTTGTACACACCTTTTGACTCGGCAATTCCATTTGTTGTAAACTGGGTTGCTTAGAATAGCACTGCCCAACAGAACTTCCTAAAATGATGGAAATGTTCTATATCTGTGTTGCCCAATAGATAGCCACTAACCACAAGTACCTATTGAGCGTGTGAAATGTGGCTAGTGTGACTGAGGAACTGAATTTCTCATTCTGACTTTAATTTGTTTAAATTTAAATGCCAACGTGGTTAGTGGCTACCATATTGCACAGCAGAGAACTAGAACACTGGATACAGAGGTACTTCACTCTACTATATAATAAAGCTGGTATTTTCTTAGCAAGAGATGATGACTAAGAGAATTTTAAAATGTCTTCTTACTCGGTTTCTGTTGTTGATATGTCTGCATAATTCCTCGAGATCTTTGTTGCTGAACAAATTTTCCTTAATTTCCATTTTCTTATCTTTCGAAATGGCTGCCATTAACAATCGGTGTACTACAATATCTGAATATCTTCTTATGGGAGAAGTAAAGTGGGTATATTTATCTAATGCAAGACCTTCAAAAAGAAATCAAAAGATCAAAGTAAACAAAAAGAAAATATGTACTTTTTAAACAGTATGATCAAGGGCATGGCCACACTTAGGAAAATTTTATCATATACCGTAATGATGGAACTCTTCCTCTGCGCATGACCCGGTGGAGAAATACAGTGCATTAGACATGGCCTGCGAGGCCATAGAGCGCAGCAGCCTGTTTACAATAGGATCACTGGGGTCATTCGCGTTATCCAGGGAATCAGCCAGTGTTTTATTGGACCTGACAAAGAACAGAAAAACCTTTGTTTTGTCTCACACAGTATTTTACAAGTGGAACCCTTCACTCACTGGTCAATATCCTCATCTGTTAGTAGTTAAATTTATTTCAAACACATTTCAGAAGCAACTCTTTTCAACTACACAAATCTAGTTTGCTTTTAAGGTTTAAACAAAGAAAAAGTATCAGAATTTATATTTCTTTTTTTTTTTTTCTTTTTGTCTTTTTTCATGACCGGCAACGGATCGCAACCCTCAGTGTCGCGCCCGCACCTCGCTCAGCCAGTGAGCGGGAACCGGTCTGTATGTGGGATCCGAACCCTCGGCGGGAGCGCCGACATTTCAGAAGCAACTCTTTTCAACTACACAAATCTAGTTTGCTTTTAAGGTTTAAACAAAGAAAAAGTATCAGAATTTATATTTCTTTTTTTTTTTTTCTTTTTGTCTTTTTTCATGACCGGCAACGGATCGCAACCCTCAGTGTCGCGCCCGCACCTCGCTCAGCCAGTGAGCGGGAACCGGTCTGTATGTGGGATCTGAACCCTCGGCGGGAGCGCCGCTGCACTCCCAAGCGGCACACTGTAGCAGTGCACCACCGGGCCAGCCAGAATTTATATTTCTTAAGCAGAGAGCAAAATATATATATATATATATTTCTTAATTAGTAAAGAGTAATGTGCTGATTAATACTACGTTAAGTTAATGCTTGGTCATAGTAGGTGGTCAAATATTTGTTGAACTGAATTCTTAATACGCTTAACCTTAAACATCCTATACAGATCAAAGAATGGGCTTTTTCTTATTTTTTTAATTAAGAATTATTAAGCCAGAGGAAGTTAAAAACAAAACAAAATTAAACTAAACTTGAGGTGCACAAATAAAAGAAACCTAAATTCATGTTTCTTAGTTTATTGTTTTATTTTTTATCTATTTATTTTTGGCGGCTGGCTGGTATGGGCATCTGAACCCTTTGACGTTGGTGTTATAACACCTCACTCTAACCAACTGCGCTAACTGGCAGCCTCATGTTTCTTAGTTTAAAGAGAGAAATAGGAAGCATTCTATTTATTTATTCTCAAAATGATAATTTTCAAAACCCCGGGAAATAAATAGAAGTATATTAAAAATAAAACTAATAATACAGCATAGCATTCAGTTCTGTATGGCGGCTGACTAAGGGAACGGGGGGAGGGAGAAGTGCGGATGAGGATGAACAGAGAAGCAATGTGATGAGTGGCCACTAACACGCGCTTTTCAGTTTGATGCACGTGGATCCAAATCCTGGCTCTGCCCTCACCAACTGGTAAGTTATAGGCAAGTTACTTCATCTCTCCCGTCTTCATTTCCCTACCTGTCAAATATGAATGATACCGCCACCAGCATTTACAGATAAATAAAGAGGCTGACAGCCCTCAGCACGTGGGTCATGCCAACAGCTCAACCAATGACCACCACGTGAACAAAAAAAAAAGATACTATTGCCTGAAGATGGAAGGAAAAAAATCCATTCTAATAAATAAAAGATATTTTAATTAGTACCTGTTCCTTGACAACAAAATACTTTTAATATCCTGTTTATACATTTTTTTTTTTTTTTTTACCGGCGTAATAACTTCGTATAGCATACATTATACGAAGTTATACTGGCCTTGGTGTTATTAGCACCGCACTCTACCAAGTGAGCCACGGGCCGGCCCCCTGGAATTTCTCCTTTAGATATACTGTATTTTTAAAAATGTGAAATGACTTATGTTCAAAGTAATTCAGTATAGCTCTGTTTGTAATAGCAAGACTGGAAACTATGCAAATTTCCATAGATAAGCAACTGTGATTAATATGGAATGATCTCAAAGATACATCAAGTTTTAAAAAAAGGAAGGTACTGAACTATATATATATATCATCATCTGTGTAAAAAAGAAAGATCACACATCCATATGTGTATGTGTATTGTATCTAGAAAAACATTGGGCCGGCCCGTGGCTCACTCGGGAGAGTGCGGTGCTGATAACACCAAGGCCCCGGGTTCGGACCCCATATCGGGATGGCCGGTTCACTCACTGGCTGGGCGTGGTGCTGACAACACCAAGTCAAGGGGTAAGATCCCCTTAACGGTCATCTTTTTAAAAAAAGAAAAAAAGAAAAACATATAAGAAATTGGTAACTGAGGGAAAGTGATAGGAAAAAGACTTTCATTAAGTATCTTTTGGAACCTATGAATTTTAGACTACAGGACTTTATTACCTATTCAAAGGTAAACATAAATTTTAACTACAAGAAATAAACATATAAAAAACTCCCCAAGTTCACGATCCTCATGCAAAACAGCTCAACCAGGGAAGGCATACGCACAAAGCTACATGTACTTGTTCCCAGAGTTTAGCTGACTCTAAAAAGCCAACAACAGAGGGAGAAGCAGCGTCACAGCCAGAAGACAGAAAAGAGGAGAGGAAGGGAAGGGAAGGCTAGAGAAATACAGCCGCCTAAAAATAAGTGGTGCAGAGGGGTACAGAGGACATAGGGGAAAAGCAGGGGTGGGGAGCGGGGTTGTAAGAGCACATTAGAAAGAAGAGAAAAGAGGCCAGAAGCAGGGAGCATCAAGTACCACAGAAGGGACAAGATAAGCTTCAAAGATAAAAATCACAAACTCACCTATCAACGCCTCCCAGGAGGGAACACAAATCAGCACTGAGGATAGAGGGCAGCATGTCATAGCGACGATCTGCTAAATAATAAGTGGTGGCCCTGTGAATGACACATACACGGGGAATGTGACCTTCAGCAGCGAGAAGCAGAACTGCTGACGGTGTGAGCTGCTGTGAGGTAAATGGCCAAAATCTCAGTACGAATTCCCCAAGGCTGTTGCTGTTTCATAAAGTGCAGCAGACTGGGTAATAAAACTATTCCCACGTTCCCACTTTTCTAACTGATACTGCTTTGGGCTGAATATTCTTCTACTGATATGAGAAAGAAAGAAAAAGTGACAGGAACCTTAGCTGTATAAGAAAATTTTAGTGTTATGATCCAGTAGTTATATAAAATAGTATTTTAGTACATGAAAATTTAAACCATTTCAATTCAGTAGGAAGCAATGTGTGAAAAGGGTACGTTAAAACGGAAATACACTTTGATGAAGGTACTATTTTTCTAAAGGAAAAGCGGGGTGGGGGGGTGGGCCTCAACTGGTTTTTCTGGAAGGGATCTTCAGAACTGCACAACATGAAATCTTTGTTTTGAACATCCCAAGCTAGCACAGATACAAAAGCTACAGTCACATACAGAAAACCAGAGTGCTGATTTCAAATAATATTACCTTGTTCTAGCTTCAATATCAGTACAAGAATTTGGTGCCACAAAGTGTGTTACATCTGCAATATGGACCCCAAGTTCCAGGTTGCCATTATTTAAGGATCTGACTGACAGTGTGTCATCCACATCTTCACAACCTTTGGGGTCAATGCTGAATACAAGATGGGTTCTCCTCAAGTCTCTACGTTCTCGTTCCTCTTCAGGACTCACCTTCCAGGGATTTTCTGGTGTGTTTACTGGCATCTCACACATCTGTATAAGAGGCCAAATATTTAGCAATTGATGTGCCACAAGTTTCTGTAAAAATTTACTCTAACATTCTCAATGAGACTGCATAGAAATTCATTCATTCTCAATTACCTTCTGCATTAGCCTATGTTTGTTTCTTTTGACCAATAATTATTAGGTGCCTCAGATGTGTCAGGTACTGTGCTAGGCTCTGGAAAGTCAAGTGTCAACAGGAAAGACACAGTCTTCAGCCCTTGAGGAACCTTACAGTATGGCAAGAAATGTCTCACAACTTCTTTAGTTATGGGGGCTGAAGCGAGAATAATGGGTGGCTCATGAGAGCACAACGTGTCCCTCATTTTCAAATGATCCATTTGCTTAAATATAGTTGAGCTTTTAATTCAGGTCAAGCCTTGAAAAAAAGTCAATACATCCCAAATATGAAAAGTTGACTCCTTAAAAATAATTTGAACAGGACCAATGTAGGGCATTTTCTCTCCATTGTTATCTGTTTAATCCATCAATTTGCAGTTAAGTAGGCTAAAAAGGAAGAGAGAATTCTAGTCCTGTGAAGTCTAATCCACACTTTATTTTATTCTAACATTTTCACTGAGAGCTGCCAAACAAGTCAACAAATAATTTCCAGAAGCTAATGTTAAACATAAAAATTTAATAACATAAAACATTCTAAGATATTTTACTAGTATAGCTCCTGTTCTGTCAAAAACTATAATGAAAATAAGAACACCCATACACTCCTTAACTGGTCCAATTTTTCTGGAGGACAATCTGCCAATACATAACAAAAGCTACTTAAATTTTTTATGCCTTTTGACTTGGTAATCTCACATTAATGATTACATTCCAAGGGTATGGTCCAAAAGAAAAAAAAAAAAGCATGTTTATAAGAATCTTTGAAGTAGCAGTTTTTATAATACTGAAAAATTAAACAGCCAAATGCCCAACAATTGAGGAATGCTTAAGCAAACTAGGGTACATCAATATACAGTAATTTACCATAACTACTAAAAATAAGTAGGCTTTGTCAATACATAAAAATAATTTTAAGTGAAAAAAGCTGAGCAGAAAATGCTATGTGCACACTATGAATATAGCTATACGAGAATAATAAACAAGATTTATGAGGATTTTAGAAGATCATAAAGTGATGGAAATAGCTGATGTTTTATGTTCATGGGATTTTTGTTTTCGGTAAAGGTTACAAAAACTGTTTCATAATGAGCATGATTTTTTGACTCATGGGTCAGAGATGTATGGATCCCAAGAATCTGCTCACTGCAGCTTTATGCAGCCTCTGGTTGAATGATTCTCATAGGGAGTGGAGCTCAGTTGGGTCTGTAACTAGGGAGCCTTGTAGTTGCTGGGGATGGATGTATTCTGACTATTAGACACTGACATTCCATTTTTAAGCACAGTTGGAAAATGTGAAAATTTGAGAGCTATACGGCTGTGGAAAACTAATTCTACACTTGAAACTGACTTCAGTCTGGTCCAAATACAGAATAAAAAGGAGTGAGATTTTTCTATTATCTGTGGCCTTAGACAGTGGGTCATTACATAGTACAAAGATTTGTCTTTCTTAATTATGAAACAAATAACAAAAGAAAAAGAAAATGTCTGTCACTAGACCAAAGGCCTCTGCAAAATCTGACCTGAGCTTCTGAGAAAGGGACAACTGAAATACTGTTTTCCACCAGGATGGTTGCAATTTCGCCTTCCAGATCTCCAATTCTTCCTAAAACACGCACAAAATGTCCATTTGGATACAGGGATGTTGACTCCCAGGAATCGATGCGCACAACCACCCTGAAGTCCTGCACAAAAGGAAAAAATAAAACACAGGACAAACATCAGGAGTTAAGTGGGTCGATTAGAAGCATCCAGCAAACAAGAGATAAACAGCAGTGAACTCCAAAGAGAGTGGCCAATTTGCAAATTGTGGTGTTTGGTGGGCTTTTGTTGCTGCTGTTGTTCTCCCTGTTTTACTAAATTGCCAGATGGTATGTAAATTCTTGGCCAATGCCTTGAAGGGAGGTATTACCTCTCCACATCAAATAAGTGGGCTGTAAATTTTAGTCTGATAAAGGAAGCCAGTTGCAATACATTTCTTTTTTTTTTTTTTTTTAAAGATGACCGGTAAGGGGATCTCAACCCTTGGCTTGGTGTTGTCAGCACCACGCTCAGCCAGTGAGCAAACCGGCCATCCCTATATAGGATCCGAACCCGTGGCCTTGGTGTTATCAGCACCGCACTCTACCGAGTGAGCCACAGGCCGGCCCAATACATTTCTTTTTTTTAAAAAAAGATGACCGGTAAGGGGATCTTAACCCTTGACTTGGTGTTGTCAGCACCATGCTCAGCCAGTGAGCTAACCGGCCATCCCTATATGGGATCTGAACCTGTGGCCTTGGTGTTATCAGCACCACACTCTCCCGAGTGAGCCACAGGCCAGCCCTAAGTTACAATACATTCTAGTTAACACTTGCAACACAAGGGAAAGACCCAGTTAGGCATAGTCCAATTTAAGTTTCAAAACAAAAGTCTCAGTTTTTTGTATGTGGGAGTTACTTTTTAATTTCTTTGAAGTCTTGAAATGCTCTTTGGTGGGGAAAAAGGTATCAGTGTAAACCGAACCCCTCTGCCCCCAAATTCTGGCAAACCACATAAAAGGAAAGCCTAATAGTGGTAACTGGCATTGGAGAACCCGCAATAAAGCTTCAGGAGGTAAAGGTACAACAACCAGGTTACCGGCTGGGGACATCCTGCTTTAGTGTCTTATTTACAAAATGGAAAATATCAGGCAAGTTAAATTGGGCAATGCCTACACTCTTTGCCACAAGTAAAGGTTAATTTCTTTTCTTTTTTTTTTTTAAAAAGATGACCGGTAAGGGGATCTTAACCCTTGACTTGGTGTTGTCAGCACCACGCCCAGCCAGTGAGCGAACCGGCCATCCCTATATGGGATCCGAACCCGGGGCCTTGGTGTTATCAGCACCGCACTCTCCCGAGTGAGCCACCGGGCCGGCCCGTAAAGGTTAATTTCTAACTTTCTTGTTTATGTCTTCACTCTAGTGCTATATTCCTTTATGGATAATCAATTCTGTGAAGTACCACTACATCATCCCTACAGGGCAGAGTGACTGTATTTCTATATTGCTTGCTAGAAGAAAGCTTGTTAGTGTTGGCAAAGTCTATCTATTGAAAGTTTCTGTGCTGGACAGCTGGATAATGTATGTTCTCTCTGGTTGTCCTACACAGCTCTTTCTAGGGCAATTTCTCTCTTGCCTTCATTTATTAACCATGGACTACTTAATACATGGTTCTTACATATTTAGAAGTTTTAAGAAACAGTATCACAGAATGCCAAATGACGTCAATAATTTCTTTCTTCTTATGCAAAGGAATTAACAATTCTTCCTGGCACCCCTCAAAAGCTGGCAAAGACAGAACATGAGAGGTGCAATGTTGTCTACCTGGAGGGCTTCTGCTTGCTGGGTGCTAATTCGAATTTTGGGAATTCTGTAATCCCAAGGTGTAACTAGGATTTTCTGAGCATTTTTGCCCTGAGATTGGACCTCTTCTTTGGATGGAAATGTCACCACGTAATCCCTCCAGTTCTTCTGAAGGATGCCCACCACTCGACCTTTGGGAAAACAAAACAAAATAAAGCATTAACTAGTTAGATGTCACCTATCTGGTCTCTAACCAGCTCAGCAGTAAGGAAGAGAACCAGAAAAGCAATGCCCCAGTTTTTCCAAGCACATCCACACAAGTCAAGAGATGTTTAAAGATTTGTCTTCTTAGCATTTTAAAGATGTATGCTTTTTTTAAAGATGAATAAATTTTTTTGTAACACTGTCAGTATGCCCTTTCTTTTGTGGGGCCTGATGTGACATTTAGAATCAATTTGTCTCACTTTCTCTTTGCCATTACTTTATCAATCTCAGGTTTCAGTACACTGGGAAAAGTCAATGATTTCTACTCCTTGAAGTCCATGCCCTCTGCTGTACCTTTTCGCTTCCTGGCATTCTTGCAGCAGCCAAGCTCATTTGGTCCATTATACACAGAAGATTATAAAAATCATAAGTCTAATACACAACATTTTTAATTATCACTGATTGGAGCTAAGAAAAAAATGAAACTTTAATGGTTAAAAGTGCTATCATTTTTCATTTCATAAATATTTATTGAGCTCCTATCAGGTACAAGGCCCTGTTCTAGGAACAGGGAAGACACTACCCAACCAGACAAAATTCTTGATTTCATAAGAGTTTACACGAAATCAGATTGGATGTTTGTGGGGGTGGGAAACAGACTAAAAAATGAATATATGTGAGGTAGTGATAATTACTAAGAAAGATACAAAGTAGAGGAAGGTGACCAACAGTATGGATGGCCAGAAGTGGTAGCTATTTTAAATAAAGTGACATTTGAGTGGAGACTTGAATGAAGTGAGGAAAACAGACGTGAGGATGTTTGGGGAAAGCTTGACCCAGGTGGTGGGAAGAACAAGTCAGCTGATGTGGCGAGAGCAGGATGATGAAGAGGAAGATGAGGTGGCCCAAGCTGGTGGGATCTTCGTAGGTCACGGTAGGAACTTGGGATTTTATTCTAAGAGAAACAGGAAGCAGCCACTGGAGAACTCTGAGAAGAGACAGGACAGGACCCAACTTGCTTTTTAAAGGATCCTTGTGACTCCGAGTACAGAAAAGACTATTCCAGGAGCGAGGGTAGGAGCAGGGAGGCCAGTGAGGAGGCTGTCACGATAATTCCACCGGCGGTGCCAGTGGACTGAATCAGGAGAGGTGTGGTGGAAGTGCGGGACATGGAGGAATTCAGGCCATACATTAAAGTCAGAGCTGGCAGGATTTCCTGATGTGTAAAAAAATTCAAGTATAATCCCAAGGTCTTTCTGTTTGACCAATTCTAAGAATGAATTTGCCATTTACTTCAATGGGTGAACACCTGGGAAAGAGCAGGTTTGGGGGTAGAAATCAGGAGTTTGTTATCAGGCGTGTTAAGTTTGAGATGCCCGTTACACATCCAGGGGAAGACGCCCAAAAGACAACTGAGTATACAAAACTGGAAGCCAAGGGAGGGGTCTGGGCTGGAGGTACAAACCAGAGGACTGAGTGAGATCTCTGGGGAGGGAGAGAAGAGAACAGGAGACTCAGAGCGGAGCCCTTGCATACCCCAGAGGACAGGAAGATGGAGAAGAACCAGCAAAGGAACGGAGAAGGAGCAACCAGTGGGGCAGAGGAACCAGGAGAGCGTGGGATTCCAGAAGCCAAAGCAGGAGGCAGTGATCCACCAGCCAAAGGCTACTGACCAGTGCGGATGACAGGAACCCAGCACGGACCAATGCTTCGGCAGTGAGGTCACTGGTGACCTTGACAAGAGCAGGTCTAGAGGTGTGGAGGAGGGGAGTGTCTGAGTGGCATGCAAGAGAGAAGCAGAGAGAATGCAGAGATAACTGTCTCGCTGAGCTTCCGCACAAACTGAAGCACAGCAAAGGCGCGGTAGCTGGCAGGGATGTGGGACCTAGCTTTTGTTTTAAGACGAGAGATATCACAGCACATTTGGGTGCTGATGGGATTAAAATTAATCTGCAGATTGGGGACACTGATCATGCAGGAGACTATATCTTATATTAACATCTGTTACAGTACAACATGGAGAGTATAGTTAGTAACAATGTATCGTATTCTTGAAAATTGCTAAGAGAGCAGATTTTAAGTGTTTTCACCGCAAAAAAATCTGAGTATGTAAGGTAATGCATATGTTAATTAGCTCAATTTAGCCATTCCACAATATAGACATATATCATGTTATACACGATAAATATATATAATTTTAATTTGCTAATTTAAATAAATGAATAAACAAATAAGTATAGTATTTTTAGATGGCTAAGGACAAATATAACTCCACAGGACAATGGATAACACTGCAACTTTGCAGCTGGCTCACCTGTAGACATGGGCTCACTTGGGGACTCGCCTGAGGCCTTGTCATCACTGTCATTCTCACACAGGGCGACGGTTCTTCCTTTCCATTCATTTTCAGGGAGCAGTTCCACAACTACCACATCTCCATGAATCGAGCGGTTTCGTGCCTTCATCCCATGGATTAGAATGTCACTGACTAAACCTGTGTTTGGGGCCACACAGAGAAACCCCATAAAGCCAAGGGGATGCCACACTAGTGAGGCGTTTCAAACATGATATATTTGATGTCTAATCAGCATTCCTGCAAGTAGGTTTCTTCCTTTCAAAGGTGAAGTCAAACATCTTTTGTTCAGGTTAGGAATGAAGAAATGCTCCCACCATGTCACCACATAATGTGCTTTCACCAGGGCCACCATCCTCAATCACCTCTCTTAAAAAAAATTCTTCCCGGGCCGACCCCGTGGCGCACTTGGGAGAGTGCAGCGCTGGGAGCGCAGCAGCGCTCCCACCACGGGTTCGGATCCTATATATGGATGGCCGGTGCGCTCACTGGCTGAGTGCAGTGCGGGTGACACCAAGCCAAGGGTTGCGATCCCCTTACAAAAAGGACAAAAAAAAAAAAAATCTTCCCCACCCCATCACCTTTTCAGGTTCCCTGCATGAATCTGTGAGACTACACTGGAATTGTGTCACACACCTTCGGAACCCTACGCAGCCAAGGGAGTGGTCAACAGGCTGAGGAACTAGATACTGCAGAACTGATGGGCAAAAGCACATGGAAAACCATTGTTCTTCATTCTCCTTCAACCCGGCCATGCTCTTGTGACTGTCAGGTGTTTATTCCCACCCAGTCAGTAAAGAACTAAGAACTATATTATGGTACAACTTATTTATACATTTTCATTACTTTTTAAAAATGATTCCAATAAGGCAATATAGCACAGCGAGGCAGTACAGAGTAATGTCTTAAAATCACAGCCAAACTGCCTTGGCTGCAAGTTCAGCTCCACCACTTACCAGGTGTGTGACCTTGAGCAAGTTACTTTGCTTCTCCAAATCTTGGTTTAAGTTTTTTTTTTTTTTTTTTTGTCCTTTTTGTCTTTTTTCGTGACCGGCAATGGATCGCAACCCTCAGTGTCGCGCCCGTACTGGACCGGGACCGGCAACGGGATCGCACCCCTTGGTGTTGTGACCGCACCTCGCTGAGCCAGTGAGCCGCCGGTCTGTATGTGGGATCCAAACCCTCGGCGGGAGCGCCGCCGCGCTTCCCAAGCGGCGCACTGTAGCAGTGCGCCACCGGGCCGGCCCGAAGTTTATTGCAATAAAATCAGAAGTTATAGACAAAAATCTAGGATTAAAAACCCCACAATCCCTTGGCTGGCCCGGTGGCGCACTGCTACAGTGCGCCGCTTGGGAGCGTGGCGGCGCTCCCGCCGCGGGGTCGGGTCCCACATACAGACCGGTTCCCGCTCACTGGCTGAGCGAGGTGCGGGAGCAGCGCCGAGGGTTGCGATCCCGTTGCCGATCCCGTTGCCGGTCCCGGTCCGATACAGGTGCGACACTGAGGGTTGCGATCCATTGCCGGACACGAAAAAAGGAAAAAAAAAAAACCCCACAATCCCACCCACCAAATGTACATGGGGATATGACATGGCATATGTAATGTGACAATTTCAACTTTGCTTTCTTCATTGCATAGTATCAGAACAAAAAAATAGGATGGAAATTCATGTAAAGTTTATACTTCACCTGAATCTTTAGTGCTGGTTCCTTGAAGTCGAACAAAAGCTTCTGTTTGTGCTCTGTGTTTGTTGACGTTCAGAATTCCCTAAAATCATAATCAAAAATCAATGTGAAAAAATTTCTTTTCTGCCTGGTTTGCTTCCAAAAGGTCCAGTTTTTAAAAACTATGTGAAAATATCCCCAGAATATTCTTATAAGGTCTGTGATCCCTTTCTTTAGGAATAATATTAATCACTAAGGTGTCTTTTCTCCAGAGAAAATATATCATTTTGAATTACTCCTAGCTATACCAGGTGCTGAAAGTACCAGGATCTATATTACCTACGTGATGAGTAGTCTTTTAGAAAAACTTTTATCTCGGGGCCGGCCCGGTGGCGCACTGCTACAGTGCGCCGCTTGGGAGTGTGGCGGCGCTCCCGCCGAGGGTTCGGATCCCACATACAGACCGGCCGCTCACTGGCTGAGTGAGGTGCAGGCGCAACACCGAGGGTTGCGATTCCGTTGCCGGTCCCGGTCCGGTACGGGCACGACACTGAGGGTTGCAATCCGTTGCCGGTCACGAAAAAAGACAAAAGAAGGAAAAACAAACAAACAAACAAACAAAAAAAACTTTTATCTCAAACTATCCTTCCAGGAATGTCATAAACTTTATTAACAAGTTGGAAGCATTAGCCTGTTTAGGCATATTCATTTAAAATATCCACACTTTGGGCCGGCCCATGGCTCACTTGGGAGAGTGAGGTGCCGATAACACCAAGGCCACGGGTTCGGATCCTATATAGGGATGGCCGGTTCGCTCACTGGCTGAGTGTGGTGCTGACAACACCAAGCCAAGAGTTAAGATCCCCTTACCAGTCATCTTTTTTTTTTTAAATTAAAATAAAAAATAAAATATCCACACTTTAGGGAGAGAAGTTAGTGTGGTGTTCTCATACAAATCTTCTGATTTGCTTCTTAGAAATGTAAAATCCATGATTGAATGCTTCTGTATCTTGACTGTGGTGGTAGACACACAAATCTGTGCATGTGATAAAACTTCAGAGCCACACACACACACACACAAATGAGTGAGTGTAAAACTGTTGAAATCTGAGCAATAATTTTATCTGATCCCTTCCCAAACCCTGACAGCATCTGGGTTCTAGGTCCTAGAGGAATTGAAAGGGGCCCTTGAAAGGGGCAGGAAAATGGCAAAGGAGGTAAGCAACTACATTTCACCAATTTTACAATGTTGCCAAACCTTGGTATCTTGATTCAAAAATATGTGTTTCTTTCCTAGTGACAGGAGGCATTTACAAAGCTACTTCCACACTCCACTTGTGTGATGCTCAATATGTAACACAATTAAGAACATCATAGAGTAGCTTCAAACAGTCCAGCCAATGACTACAGGAATGACTCCCTAATCACCTCAAACACTGACAGCCTGGCTTACTCACACCCATTGTGTTTATGACCTTTGAAATTAGAGGCTTGTGCCAGGAGGCAAATGAAGAAGAGAAGAAAACATACTGACTGGTCCTGATGCTGCTTCTTCATCAACACCTTTACCTGGATGTAGCGTCCAGACTTGATCCCGGCTTCTAGCACTTCCAGGGGAAGATGCTCCGGGTACTCCTTGCCATGGCTCTCCTGACTCTCATTCTCTCTTTCCCAGCGAGACTGAAGGATAGAATTGCAAAGCTCATGGGCAGCCTTTAAATCAGGCCAAAAATTGTCCAGATAATTCTGCATTTAATAAAGGCATAGAGAAACATGGTCGAAATTATGAATCTTCATTATAGTACTACCACAAAAAATCCTAACTAGGAACTGCTGGCATGCAGTTTTCAGGAAGTGTTCAGTGAGCACCACTTTCCTGAGCCTCACACTACCGTCCTTTTTCTACCATTTCATTAATCCCTGAAGTTTTGCCAAAGGAACCCCAGGGCGACCCTGCTACCATCAAATGTGTCCATCTCCCAGATTACCTTGCACCTTCAAATCTGCCTCTCTCCAAACACACCCCCACGCGCACCTCTAGGCAGCCTGTCTTTACATGTATCTCGTTGCTGCAGACAGTGGCCTACAGACAACGCGGAGGAAAAGCACCTCTGTGTCATTCTTATCTCTTTATACGTGATTTTAACTCAACTTTAAGTCTAAGGTAGAGTCTATCACATTCTTTTTTCTCAAATTGAAAAGAAAATAAATTATCCTTATTGTCAACTCCAGCATTTCTCCCACTGATGTCAGGATCCTGTTCAAACTGTTTCCTTTCTTTCCCTATCCTTCCAGAAGTTCTGTCAGCACTAATGACAGTATCCCAATTCCATGGTCACTACCACTTATCAACACCAAACTTTTGTCATTATGAACCACCTCTTCAAGAAGAATTTATCATCTTGGCTCTTTTCCATCTAACTTCAAGTTCCTACAGAACATTCTGGGCTTCCCTCTCATCTGATCTTCACAGTATGTCTTTTTTTCTGTTATCATTCACCTCTATGAGGCCCTCGGTCACACAGTTTGCTTAGAAACACTATACAAAATAAGACTGTGCTATACTGTTGGACTACAAAGAAAAGTAATTTTCACAAAAAGTAGAAAAATGTAATTTTAGTCAACTGTCCTCTGCAGGAACAAGACATGATATATTGCAACAGAAAAAACAAGTGACACTGCCATTAATATCCAGCGCCCCCAGAATTCTCTCGCATGCCAGAACACTTTTTTATAGCAGGGCCAAGAAAATTCTATTGGCAAATCTTTAGCAATACATGCACCTGAGAACCCTTATAGAATCCACAATTCAAAATCCAACTAGACTTTCTGTAAACTGACAGGGGTAATGGAGGGCCTCATTCTAGTTTTTGCATCAAAAAACAATATCCACCAGTAGAATTTGATTGACCAACCAGGCAGACAGAAGAGACCAGTAATATATTGAGAGATTAACAGTCATCCTATGCTCTGAAAAGGTACCTGAGAGATAGGAAGAATCGTGTTGCTAAGACAGCCCAAAGAAACCGTCACTGATAATAACACTCTGTCTGTGATCTGTACCAAGCTGACCGACAGCCCTCACATAAATAAAATCACAACTTGATCCCTTCGTTTATCCCTACTAACCCCCATAAACATTCATAAGTGGGGAAGAGTAAGGAACGGCTGAAAAACAAGACTGGCTTTTAAAATGATGTGTTTTGTGTGTGTATTCAGAAAAATAACTTGGGATCCAATATAGCATGGTGGTTAAGAGCTCTGGTGTCAGACCGCCTGGGTTCTAATCCCAGCTCTACCATTTCTACTGTGTGACCCTGGGCAAGTTGCTCAGCCTTTCTGTGTTTCAGTTTCCCTAACAATAAGCTGGGATAATAACACCTACCGTGTTGGGTCGTTGCAAAAATTAAATGAAATAATACACTTAGAACAGTGCCTGGTATAGATACATGTTGGCTATTACTATTAGGTGGAACCACGTAAAACTGATATTTTATAGGTAAAAAACCACCAAATATTGGCAATTTTATTCAACCTATTATCATCATCATTACTATTACTGTTATAACAATAAACATTAGTTTACTGTCAGCAGGAGATGGTTGGGCTGGTCTTGAATGCTGCGGGCCTCACAGTCACAGGAGTTTGCCCAAATTTGCCAAAGTCAAGCTTAATTAGTTAGGAGTAAATAAGATATAGAACTTTGTAAAATCTTCCTTTTTTCTTTATTTTCTCTTTTCTGTGTTGCCAAAGGAATCCAGAACCTTATGGGCCTTCTTCGGAAATGAACACACACACAGACACACATAGTTACATACACAACAGCTGGAAATACCTTGAAAGAAATCACAAACACTCCTTCTGTTTCACTTCCATACTGCTGAATTGCCTCTTCATCTTCTGTCACCATGATGATTGGCATCCTGTCCTGGCAGTGGTGATAGTACCAAACAGCAGCATTGTATATGCTCCTGGAAAAGCAAAAGGCACTTGAGCAGACAAACACAAGCTATTGTTCAGAATTTCACCCTTGGCTTTTAATCTGCTACCCTTTGGTCTGTATAGACAACCATTCATTCATTCGTTCAACAAATACTCTTTGAGTATCCGTTATAAATAAGCCCTGGGCTGGTGCACTGGGGTACAAAAAGCTGATTCAGAAAGGATTGAGGGGGCAGGCCCGTGGCTCACTCGGGAGGAATACTCTTTGAGTATCCGTTATAAATAAGCCCTGGGCTGGTGCGCTGGGGTACAAAAAGCTGATTCAGAAAGGATTGAGGGGGCAGGCCCGTGGCTCACTCGGGAGAGTGTGGTGCTGATAACACCAAGGCCATGGGTTTGGATCCCTATATAGGGATGTGCAATTCGCTCACTTGGGAGGGCGTGGTGCTGACAACAAGTCAAGGGTAAGGATCCCCTTACTGAGTTATCTTTAAAAAAAAAAGGAAAGCACTTGACATCTCTTCTTCCTGAAGACATCCAACCACCACCACCATAGCAACCCCTTTCATTTCTTCATGTGGTCTGGAAACCATGAGGTTCTACCTTCTTTTAACACCCTATATTCAGAGGAATAAGCCACATAACACCAAAAAGGATAACAAGCTACACTATGTGAGGCTTAAAAGAAATAAGTCTTTAGCCAAGAGAAAAACTAGACTGTAAGTAGCTGAAGACCATAACCTAGTAGGGTCTGATATGGAGCTGCATGAAATGCCTGGAAATCTTCCTGAAAAGAACTTGAATTGGGAAACAGAGTCTAGGTCTGGAGAACTATGTTCAAGACTGGATTATCTTTCCAATGAAGTACACAAAGGTGGATGGTCCATTTCTGTGTGCATCTGTTTCTCTTTCTGTAAATGAAGAAGGTATGTAAGGTCTGTTTAGTTCCAGATTTTTAACAATTCAGCCAACATTTACTGAGTACCTGCTATGTGCAAGGCTGTGTAGTTAGGCTGATCATCTGAGTACTCACATGTGGCCCAATCTGGAGAAAGATTTGTTTTTCCCTTTCTGGTGATGGGCCATGTGGGAACCTGGGGACTATAACTAAGGACTTGGTATATATCAGTTCTTATTTTGCTTTGGGGAATTAAAATATTAATGGTTCTAACAGATAAATATTTACCAAAAAAAAGATGATTTAAATGCTTCGCACAGATAAGACATTTTAAAGCTTAAGGTCTCTTCTGTCCCATACAGAAGAGTATAGCAAAGGCTACCGGTGCCCAGCACCTGTACTCTAGGCCCACCTCTGAGTTTAGCTGCAGCTGTGGTTGACAGTTGCATCCCACCTCAAGGGGCCACTGAATGGAGTTAATACCCCTGAGGAAAGACCCTCAACTAAAGGGGCAACTAACAAAATGCTCTACTCTCTGCCCTTCAAGGTGACTTCTGAGGCACATTCTACATGCTTCTCAGAGGCTCCCAGCAGGACTGACTGACCTTCATTTCCCACAGCAGTAACCCATCCTTTACTGTTTTCTCTCTCTCTCCAGCTCACTCTCCCCACTTCCTCACTCCTGCCTGAGAATCACTTCCACATAAACACTCAAGGGCTTGCTTCAGGCTCTGCTTTCAGGCAGACCTAAACTAAGACATTATATTTCCTAAAAGAGCTTTCTCAGAATTAACCTACTGGTTTCAGTCTAATAAGACTGGTTAGGATATTAGAACAAGCTTTTCCAGAAAAATTGAGCAGATTATCTTAGCTTAAAAGTATAATCCCTTCCCTCCTATTCCCACACAAGTATTAAAGTTATAACTTCTAGATCAGTGGCATGATCCTGATAGCCATTAGAATCTGGGGCAAACTTACTCTGGGTATCTATGCGTCCCTAATTACAATTTTATGCGTGTGTGTGGCCAGCCAGTGCAGGGATCAAACCCTGGACCTAGGTGTTCTCAGCACCACGCTCTAACCAACTGAGCTAACTGGCCAGCCCCCTAATTATAGTTTTTAAAATATATCAATGATGTATTCAAATGACAAATCTAAAATATTGACATGTTAAGCATTTCAGTGTTAATCACGGTTCCAGCATAATTGTTGGTTTATTCCAGCACACTATCTAGATCAACTCCCAAACAGCCAATGACGAGAAAATG